CAATCTGCCGCTTTCTTACATTTCAAAAATACCACGCACAATTTGGTTATTATTCCCTGGTGTAAGAAAGATTGCAGTCAACAGGATCATTTTAAAGTATATTCAAGTAGGTTACTCCAATGACATACAAATTGCTTGAAAAAGACGGTTTATCTGACAAATCGCAAACCATTACAGTGAACAGAAAATGTCTGATTTTTCAGGTATTGAACTGAAATTCCTCTCTGAGGAAGTGAGACTGACAAGGAAACCATGAAAATGTGTACTTCCTTTGTGAAATTTCATTAGCTACTTACTCTTAAAGGGACATTACCATATTTTTGGAGAGGTTGGAGATTTTAGACTTTGATTGGAATTTATGACTGTTCAAATGTTCAAATAATTATCATCATGTGATAACTAGCAACAGTGCTAATTATTGCAAGAGCAGACTTTGAAGTTCTTTAGTGTTTAATGGTAAATAACTTCTAGGGAACATCACATCCCTCCACAGGTGAGGCAGTAAAATGTTACTTCTGAGCCAGAGAGCGCATAAATTTCTCTCCTCTCAGAGAAAATTTTAAAAAAAGATTGCAAGAGCTTGAGCAGCTAGAATGTAGAATCATAATAATAATATTCCTTGCATTTGATATAGCGCCTTATCATGTCTTCACAAAGCGCTTCACAGATTATACTGTAAAGTGAATTCACTGTATATGTTGTGAGCAATACAGAAACTCTCACCTCAAAACGAAATTCAAGATGGCATTAATCCTGGTCTTAAGAATGAGAGAAGCAAGGTCAGAAGAATGTTAAACAGCAACCAATGGCAGATACAGTCTTGCTGATAGTAACCCTAGAGGTAGTTATCAGCTGTCAATAATTAGATGTCAGATTTGCTCAGTTGACCACACTCTCACCTCTGAGTTAGAAGGTTGTGGGTTCAAGCCCCACATCTTTGAACTCACAATGTAGGCTTCCACTCCAATACAGCACTTGGAGGCACCTGCATTGTTAGAATTATCATCCTTCAGATCGTAGAATCATAGAATTATACAGCACAGAAGGAGGCCATTCAGCCCATCGTGTCTGCGCCAGCTCTTTGAAAAGAGCTATCCAATTCAATCCCACTCCCCCGCTCTCTCTTCATAGCCCTTCAAACTTGTCCTCCCCAAATAATTATCTACTTCTCTCTTAAAGGTTGTTATCGAATTAGCTTCCATCACCCTTTCAGGCAATGCATTCCAGATCCGAACAACTCAATGTTTGAAAACATTTCTCCTCACCTCCTCTCTGTTTCTTTCAACAACTATTTTAAATCAGTGTCCTCGGGCTACCAACCCACCCGCCAGTGGAAATAGTTTCTCTTTGTTCACCCTATTGAATCCCCTCATAATTTTGAGAACTTCTATTAAGTCTCCTCTTAACCTTCTCTGAGGAGAATAATCCTAGCTTCTCTAGTGAGAGACTCCATCTGTCTCTTCAGGTGAACATTAAGCAATCCCAGGGTCCTATTTGAAAAGAGAAGGGAGTTTTACTGGGATCCTGGACATGGGTTACTTACTTCATTGGTCTGTTTATTGCTGTGTTTAATTTGGCTGCTGTGTTTGCCTACAAAATACACAGTCACTACACTTCCCAAATAAAATCCTGTAAATCACTTTAAGATGTCTATACAACAGGATAGTTGTTACATCAAACACAAGGATTGTTAGATATTGAACCCTTAAAAAGTCAGAAACATATTCCATCCCAACAGTAAGATCTAATCTGTTGTGTTTCTTATTCAAATTTCTTAATAAGGAATCTGAACTCTGCAAATGGGGACTCCTACCAACAATATGTTATACTGACCCACGGGAACGCTGTTCCAACATTATTCTTCCAGACCTCCGAAATGCTAGCCTGCATGAAGGACACTATATAAATGCAAGTTCTTGTGGTTTAATACTGCAATTTGGACCCCTGTAGTTCGAATAGTAAAACACTGTGCAAGGTGATGTTATATGTTTTTAAATATCATCTACAATTACATAGTCTCTACACTTTACAGTAAATCCTTGAAGCGTTTGGATTACAAAGATGTGATAAAGTATTGTATAAATGTAGGAATTATTATTATTATTTAGAATATTTAAATATTGATATGAAAGCTTCTAAATACAAATTAACTTGATTAACCTCTATCTATTATGGCTGGAAAAAACATATGAAGGACTTGATAAGTTGTGTGGGTTATGATCTTCAGTTACAAAAATACTGAATGAGTTTCCTAGTAACTTTGTGAATTTCACAGAGTTTTGATCCATTATTAAAGAAGTGGTTAAGAAAGACACATAAGCAGAAGTATGGATTTTTTCAGAAAGAGTTTTGGCAGCTTTATACTCATTTCACATACTATGTTGCTGTATTGCACCTTTGGAATGAGACGTTAAACATGGGGCTTGTCTGCATGTTCAGGAGGATATTAAAGATCCTGTGGCCTTATTTGAAAAGTGAAGGGAGTTTCTTCCAGTGTCCTGGCCAACAATTGCCAAGATAAAATTGGTCACTCACGCCATGACTGTTTCTGGGCATTGCTGTGTGCAAAATTTGCTGCTGTGCTTGCCCACAAAATATATAGTCACATCACTTTACAGTATATCCTGTGAAGTGCTTTTAGATATTTTGAATGACATGAAAAGGAGCTATAGCAAATGCAATAATTTTTATTAATATTATAAGAATGATTTTTACAACCGCACATAAAACTACACCAAGTACTCAAGTAAGAATAAAGCAACTATAATGTAGCAAAGTTAACTGTGTGCTCATGTTCCATATCATAACTCATTTTATAACATTTAATAATATTCCTTGCATTTTATATAGCGCCTTATCACATCGTTGAGACATCTCAAAGCGCTTCACAGAATATACTGTAAAATGGATTGACTGTATATTTTGTGGGCTGAAACGCGGCAGCCAATTGGTACAGCCGTGTCCAAGAAGTCATGAATTAAGTGACCAAACTTTTATTAAGTTTTGAAAAGATTTCTACCCCCGGAAAGTGACCCTCCGATTGACTAATAACTGGGTTCCTACTTATTGATAAATAAATAGAGGACTGAATAGTGAGGAAACTTGCCTAAGGTTTCGCCTTACCAGGAAATCGAACCTGGTCCTCTCGCTTGCGAGGCGAGTGCTCTAACTAACATGCCACAGGACTCCACAAGGGAGTCACAATGTAAAGTTCAACACAAATTCAGCAATTTGAGAGTGCTCGCAATAGATTTTGCTTCCCTCTTACACAAGAGGAATTTTCTAATTATGTACCTGTTTGAGAAATTGTGCCCTAGAATTCTCCTGCAATATTTCTTAACAATGCAGTGATTCTTGGTCGATTCTTTTAATATTACACTCACTATATGCACAAATATTTGCTGACAGTAACTTGCGTTATCCACTGATGAATATTAACAGTGAACGTTTCACTGTGTTCATGATTAACTTAGGCATGCATAGAGTGATTACACAACATGGCAAAACAAGTGGCTGAATTCAGTTAAATCTAAACTGTTGGTTCAGGTTATGACAAGAACAACATCTATATAGTGTCCTTCAAGCGTCTCAGAGCTCTTAAACTGCATGTTAGGAATGATATTAAGAGCACACAAATTCATTTCAAGGAAGACATTTGCATATTGCAGAGAGAGCAGCTTTCTCTGTATAATTCTGGGTTGGCTTTGAACCCATGCCCGGTTGTAAAGAGACGCACATTATGAAACCCATTACCCAGACCTCCGGGGTGCATTAAGTACAGGCATCATCCTGGCTCAGTTGACAAGATCCTTGTCTCAGATTCAGAAGATTGAAGGTTGTAAGACTTGAACTTATATAGTCTAGGCTGACACTCCAGTGCAGTGCTGTGGTAGTGCTGCATTGTCAGAGGTACAATCCTTCAGGTGAGATGTTAAACTGAGATTCCATCTGCCTGTTCAGGTGGATGTTAAAGATCCTATGGCACTATTCTAAAGAAAACTGAATTTATTCTGGTAACCTGGCCAACAATCCTTCATTTTAAAAAATATCAATTACAACAACACCAACTTGCATTTATAAAGCGCCTTTCATGCAGGGCAGCGTCCCGGAGTGCAGATTCACTTCATGATTTTGTGCAAATTAGCTGCTGCAAATACTTTTCACAGTCACTGCACTTTACAAATCCTATGAAGTGCTTTGAGATGTGCTCCTGACATTAAAGTTACTATATTAAATGGATGGATTATTATTAATGTTACTGCTACATACTATTATTGTTACTGAACTTGGAGTGACACCATATGTTCACTCGCCAAGATCAGTAAATTTACAGATGACCAGAGAATCATCCCAACAATGTATATATGAGAACAGGACCAAGTGGGCTCTGATGTCCCCCCCACGGATGGAAAAAACCTGTTGACACTCATGCGTTTCGGGTCATGTGTAAAGAATGCCCACCTGGCAAGATATCAAACCGCTACCAGTACAGGTAAAATCATAACCCTAGCAAGAGTCAGCACCTTCAGGAGATAAAGAGGGGAAGAATAGGAGAAACAATTGGCCAAAAGTAAAGCTGTGTAGTTGCATTAACTTATGACTTGTTTTAATTGACAGACAGAGGCATTGCAGTAGAGCAGGATATTATTGAGACAAAAATCACACATTGAGATGAATAACAATGCCATACTACGCTGATCATTTGATCTATTTTGATTTGGACAATGCAAAGATATGCTCGCATTTGTAACAACAAAATACACTGTGGCACTATTGAGTCCACAAGTGTACACTGTTTACATCTAACAGCATTTAACAGGAGCAGTTCACATGAAGTTAAGACTCGTCCAATAAGTCAACAAATAGAATTGGACCTATGAAGCTGAAAGAAAGTAGTTACTTTTCATAACAACCTTTTAGAGTATTCAGTTGGCAATTCCAAATTAAAGCTATTGATATTCCAAATACATTTGTGTGAAACAGGGAAAGAAATTACCTACCTCTCCCCCGCTGACCCAGCTCCTGCTCGTATGTGCAACATGCACCTATGAACTTTGATCAAAGGCTGGCTTAAAAGTTTAGCAACGTAGCAGGCTGCTGGCAAATGTCAGCAGATTGTGAATGATTTTCCCCTTTTTTAATTATTCCCAATAGTTGCCGTGCTTTGAGCTATTTATATAATTACGTCACATCGCCCTCTACCCATCCCCCTCTCCCTTCCTCTCTGCTTGGTGACCAACCTCATCATTGTGAAGATCTTTCAAATGATATCCTATATAAAGGGTTCCCTGTAAATGCGAGTTTTTGTTGTTATCTCAATCACAAATAACAGAAGGAAAGGGTCGTGCCAATGTCTCTTCACTCCAGAGCTTGAACATTAGGAATGTGGCCTGTTCTAAATTCCTGAGAATAGAGTGGAAAATAATTCCAAAAGATAGTCCATCTGTTAATCATTTATTACCTCTAAGTGAGAGATGTCTGTATTTCAATTAGGAATCTTTGCTGACAGAACAAAAATGTTAGATTAGATTGAAGATTTAGGGCTTTGTCCAATACTTAATATTTAAAAGAGTTTCTTTTAGAATGAGATAGCATCAAAGAAATCACAGCACAGGAGGAAGTCATTCAGTAACTAAACTGGTGCTAGCTCTTTCATTGCAGATCACTTCACTGCTCCTTCACTGCTTAAATCCTACTTCCTTTTCTTTCTCTGTCCCATATTTTGATAACCCTCCCCTTCTGCAGGAAAAGGTTTCTTCTAACTGATATACCTTAATCAATATACTGTAACTCAACTTTGCCACAGTGACATGTGTTATTAATCTTTGTTGGGATCAGGAGCAAGTCCCTTTTCTTCAAAACAAATAGGGCTTCACCCAAATAATATCTTTGCTTTCATTAGCTGAAATTCAACAATATTCATTTTTCTTTAGCCTCTCTCAGTCCAATATTACACAATAAAAATAATAATCCTTGAATTTGATATAGTGCCTTATCACATTGTTGAGACGTCTCAAAGCACTTCACAGAATATACTGTAAAGAATAAACTGCATATTTTATGGGTGAAATGCGACAGCCAATTGTGCACAGCAGTGTACCACAAACAGTCATAGATTGAGTGACCAATTTATTATTTTTTTTAAGGAATTATTACCCCTGGAAAAGCAATCTGCCAGTCGACTAACAACCGGGTTCCTGCTTACTGCTAGGCAAGCGTGAATGTTTATCGCTACTATGACCCTTTGCAAATGAACACGTGAGCACACTACTGGTTTTAACAGGTGGTGTACTCCGATAACTGCCAGTATTCAATAAGCATTCTTGGCATTCAATAAAAGGACTTGGTGTCTCTTCATGCTAGGGATGGCATCACACAAATCTTTAGCTGGCTGTTTGTATACTGGAATTAAGGAAATACATAGAAAAACGGGAACTGCAATCTCAACACATGTTCACCCTATTTTGATCTGCTAAATATACTGTTTGAATGCTATGTCATCTTTACTAGTCTGTACTTTATTCACCTTTTTCCAGATCACGAATGCTACCCTGCTTCACCAGCCAACTCAGTCGACCAAGTTTTGAACTTGCGACCAATATCTTGTTTAGTTAACGCTACATCACATGTTGCCTTTACCTACTGGGTCACTAGGATACTGATGCTAACATGTTTTCTGACCCTATTCACTCTTGAATTAAGTCATCATTAGATTCTCTTTATGTAGCCACACTTTAAATGTAATCAAACATTAATATTAGTATATGACACAATTTCTGTGAGTGACAATAAAGTTTCCATCCACCTCTTGCAAACTGCAGTGTTGAGTGTTAGCAGAAAGAGAGACCTAATTCTCTGTGCAGTGCGATGGCTTTCGTGAAGCAATGCTATAGATGTAGATGGAAACCACACATCATCTATGGTCAGATATATATCTATCAAAGGACACTTTACTACATGTTGCAAGCTGTCATGTGGGTCAGTATAGGTACAACTTTCTCACTGTTCATAAGACTACTTAGGACTAGAATGGCAGATTGGTTTGTATTTTGTGCCTCGGCTTTTTTCACCAGGGCTGTCCTTTGAATTAGATTTGTTTAATTCTGTTCAGCAGGTTGATTAGACATGTTACTGAGTGGAAAGAGCAGATGTGCTTTTACTCTGATGTTATTGCTATGGATCACAGAAATACAAGGTATGTACAGCTAAACACTCAAATAATAGTAATAATAATCCTTGCATTTGATATAGCGCTTTTCATGTCTTCTCGACCTCTCAAACCTCTTCACAGAATATACCGTAAAGTGAACTGACTGTATATTTGTGGGCGAAACGTGGCAGCCAATTGCGCGCAGCAGTGTCCCACAAACAGTCGTGGATTGAAGTGATCAATTTATTATTGTTTTCTTCTTGAGGGATTATTATCAGGCGTGTGGAATAAGGAATCAACCGTGACCTAGAACAGAAGGTTTGTTACTTGAAAACAAGTTTCACATTTGTCAGATTGGATATAGCTAATATAAATTAAGCATGTTTGTAACATAGTACACAGAAATAATATCAAACAACACAATGAGCATTCCTCAGATTGTTATTGCCAATAATATAGTAATAATGAGATTAAACAGATGTTTATTGTAACTGCTATTGTATTTGTTCTTGGTTTCATTTTTACTTTTACAAAGCTGTAGCTATTAAAACTGACTTGTGTTGCCACTCAAGAGAATGTGAACAAATATGTCCGAATGCATTTCAATGAAAGACTGACTTTGCAGCAATCAGTTTCAAGATCAATTTCTGGCACATTCACTAATATTAGATGAGAGAGCAAACTCCAATTCTCTGCCTGGACTTTGTGCCATTGTTCTATGATCGTTTGAACACAGTAGAACAAACGTAAAATCTATTAATAAAAACAGAGAGAGCTGAGAAAACTCAGCAGGTCAGGCAGCATCTATAGAGAAAGGAAAGTGAGTCAACGTTTCGGGTCCACGACCCTTTGTGAACTCACTTTCCTTTCTCTATAGATGCTGCCTGACCTGCTGAGTTTTCCCAGCTCTCTCTGTTTTTGTTTCAGATTACAGCAGCTGCAGTATTTTGTGTTTTTTAAAATCTATTAAACCAATTATCGAAAAGTAATAATTTTTGACCTAATGTTGAAAAGAGTTTTTCCGGTGACACCAGAGTCAGTGCTGTTGCTCTGGTGATATTTTCACTGGGAGTAAAATAACATTCTCACTGTAACTTTGTAATAATTAAAACAAGAGATTAATAGGTTTGAAAATATAATAACAAACATATAGCAAAGTTTTATCTTAGAAAAGCCTTAACTGAGAAAATGGCCAGCTACCATTGAAGAGTTATTTAAAAGTGAATTAATTCACTTGGCTAGACTGTCTTTTTAGCATAGTTAAAATTAGAAACCCTTTTTTAAAATCAATAGTGAGAAATGACAAGTGGCTGTGTATGTGTGCGGGGTGGGAGGTTGTTTAGATATTCTAGTGAAAACATTACAAATGTGGTCGTGAAAAGGCCATCAACCTGATTGCCTTCACAGACGACACAAAACTGAACTCGCCGTGGACTCAACCCACCACAATGCCTCACACAAAATGTTTTACCAATACATGGCCTGATTCACAAAGGTAAACAATCCTAAACTCCAGAATATTTGTCCACCTCCACCTCTGCATTTTTGTGTTCTTCAATAGGTAACATACCCAATAACCCCCTCCCCAGACTTTAGCAAAGATGCCTTTATGTCCTTGAATTATTTGTTCATCAATTCAGTTCATTTGTTCATGAACTGGGATTTGTTCATCCCAGTCTATCCTATAACCTCCAATACTGGTCCCAGCTAAATACATGTATTTTGCCTTTTTTTAGAAAGGAAATACCAGCAGACACCAGTCTCAGTTTCAGTTCAACCTAGCATGTTCCCAAACTAACATACACTAATTTTACCTCAGATCTACAGCAGGACCTCTTTCAGAAGACATTGTCCACATTGTAATCATGTATGGTCTAGACTTATAACATGCAAGTATGAAATGGAATGGTTAATACCTAGCAGGAATTAACAATTTCCTGAGATATAAATAATTCTTGCAATTGGTTTCCGTATTAAAATAATTATGTAAGAGAATAATAATAATAATCATTACATTTGGTCTATAGCCTTACACATAAGAGATGCGCAAAGCACTTCACAGGATATACTGTAAAGTGCAGGGATGGGTGTGTTTTGTGGGTGACAGGGCAGCCAATAAAATATCTCTAAAGAAGATATCAAAGGCAAAGGCTTGGAACAAAATAAACAAAATTACTATTGTTTTATAATTTTTTTATATAGCGGAGGGAACGCAATCCAGGGTACAATAAATATAAATTAAAAAAACACTAATATTGATACACAAAAACCACCTCAATACTATAATTGAATTGAACTACATTATTTTAAAGCATTGCAAGAAAATGCACATTTATTAGAGTATTCAGAAAATGCACTGATGAAGTAAAATGACAAATGTGATGCATAGCAGTGCCTTAATATAAAAGCACATTTGGTTTGAGAAACTCACAAGAATTATTTTACGTTATCATTAATAACTATTTCCTCAGTAGCTGAATGGAAAAATTCTATTGGTAATTACCAGATTTTCTCTTTTGACAGTACAAGTGGATGATGGTGAGATCACACGCACATCATTACTCCTGATTTACACAGAAATGTACGGCACAGAAACAGGCCATTGACCCAATTAGTCTCTGTGCTGTTACAATCCTCGGTTGCCTTCATTTCATTACACAATCATGCTGAAAGTTTCATCTAAGGTTTTATCCACATTGCCTTGCTTAACATTTCTGGAATATCTACAGAATTTTCCACACAACTTGTTGTTTTACTGACATCACACATCTATTGAAAATGGTCTTAAAAAAAGGCTCTTGTTAAAACTGATATTATATATAAAGATAGATAGTACATCAGTGCAGAAAATAGGTTGAATTTATTTTCTTATTCCCTGCTTTCTTCTGTTTTTATTGTGGTGGGAGTGAACCAT